CAAAAATATAATTTAAAATTCCTTTGACAAATTGAGGTCAAATGAGGGGCATGAAAGGACAATGATCATAATGACAATATGACACATTCAACATGATTTGTTTGTGTGGGTGTATATGATAACATAATCAATGAAATAAGGATGACATGAAGATTAATTTGTAATTTCTTGTTAATTGTTTTTGTTCTTGTTAATTTTTGTTGTTGTTGTCGTAATAATAATAACAAACACAGCGCAAATTGTTGAGCACACCATTATGTTTTTGTTTTTTGTTTTTTTTCTATTATTTATTATTTTAATAGCTAATTGTTGTTTAATCTAATAATTTATCTAAGTATTGTATTTTGTGTTACCTATTATACAAGGGATTGGGGAGGGAAATGGAGAAGGGGGTACTCATATAATTGATATCAATAAGGGTTTTCTGGTATTTTACATGACAATTTTCTGGTCGAAGGACCTCTAATAAAATCCTTTCGTCTTTTAAAGCAGATTTTCTAAACATTTTATTCGTCTACAAAGAAACATTTGGGTTTTACAATTTTACTTACTTTCTGGCATTCGGTGAGAAGATTTATTGGACTTCTATATAAAGACCTTCTGTTCAGCAATATAAAGACATATTATAAAGTTGGATAGTTCCGGAATGAACTAGTACATTGGAACTATTCCGATAAAGGAACAGTAGGAACCAGTTTCAGTACATTAGTTAATTTTTCATGATCTCGTTCCTTTATTTTACCTCAGTCCTTTATTTTACCTCATTCCTTTATTCCCATATTCTTTATTCGTTATCGTTCGTTAATTTAGAAAATTAAAATAGATAAATATTTTTTTTTTCGCGTATCGTCCTGCAGTTAGTTTCTGTAGCTTCCGAATATTTTACTTTTCATTTTTGCTCAATATGTTTACCTGTTCATGTATCTACGAATCAACGCGGAACTACGTAAATAAAACAGAAAAATAATTATGAAAAAGAGAGATTTAAATGAACTAACTGAACTATGAGTCGGAACTCTATGGAATAAAGGAACTATGTGGAGCAAAAGAACTATATGGAGAAAAGAAACTATATTTCTTTTTAAAAAAAATAAAAGGAAAAAAACGATCCGTTCCGAGAACTAGGTTGCCAAACTTTAGTCGGAACTGTATGGAGCAAAGGAACAATGTGAACCGAAGGAACTATATGCAGGAAATGAACTATATTAAGGAACTAGTTCCTTTTTAAAGGAACTGGATAGATGGTTCCGCTCCGTAAACTAGATTGTTCAACTTTTGTTCTATACTAAGACTTTCTCCATGATCATCTTTGTACTTCTATAACCCCCTCAATGACCATCTCACCATATATAATAAGGCCTTCTATCCATTTTGGTACTATGGGATTAACTTGTGGGTACTTTATTTCACTCCTGGGCCATAAAAAAGCCTTATGCTAAGAAGACCTTCTGACTTTCTAGAATACACTTCGGTTTTCTATATGAGGAAATTTGTTTCTATAGAAGAAAATCAGTGAAATACCTTTTGTCCTTATAATAAGGTATTCTGTTTTTCTGAGGGAAGAACTTTACTTATTCTTAAGAAGATCAACGCTCTTTTATACGTGGGACTAAAGTTGACCTATAAGAAGGTCTGCTATAAAGGAATTATATAAGAAGACTTATTTGTTTTTTACAAAACATAAAAATAGTCTGGTCTTTTATTGGATGTTGGTCTTCTATAAGAGGGAATTATGCTATAAGAGCAGGAGTTATATAAGGGGAATTTGGGGTTTCTCTTAGAAGAGATTCTGTTATTTTGTTATGGGAAGTCCTGTTCTTATACAAGAGAAGAACCTCTATGATTCCACGAGAGAATTATGACAATTTATGAGAAGTAGTCATATAAGGGGAATTTCAGCTCTCTATTAGAAGAGCTTCTGCTTTTCTATAGGGAGATCTACTCTTATGCAAAAAAAGGACCGTTGGTCTTCCATGTGCAGACTTTCTGGTCTTCTCTAAAAAAAATGGTTTTCCATGAGCAGATTTTCTGGTCTTCTATTAGAAAACCATCTGGTATTCAATGATCAGATATTCTGGTCATCTATGAGAATACCTTCTTGTATTATATTAGAATTTCTCATATTATGGTCTTCTATTAGACTACTTTCTTGCTTTTAATTGGTAGATATTCTGGTCATCTATGGGAAGATCTTCCGGTATTACATGAGAATAATTTCTTTTTAATAAGAAGTCCTTCTGATGTTTTGTGAAAAGAACTTCTGATCTTCTGTGAGAATAACTTCTAGGCTTCTATGAACAGACCTTTTGAGTCTTCTGTGAGATAAACTTCTGGACTTGTTTCTGATATTTTGTGAGAAAATCCTCAGGAAAAAATTCTATTCTATGAGAAGATCTTCCGACCTTCCATAAGAAGGCCTTCTGGTCTTCAATAGGCAGATCTTCTATTACACTACAATCTCGTCTTTTATGAGAAGATCTTCTGGTGTTCTGTGAGAAGACGAAGATCAGATGCTTCCATGAGGGGCCCTCCTGATTGCTATTCTAGCCTTCTGTGAGAATAACTTCTGATCTTCTATAGCCAGTTCTTCTGATCTTCTATGAAAATATTATCTCGTCTTTTATGAGAAGATCTTCAGGTGTTCTGGGAGAAAAACCTCAGGTGTTCTATGACAAGCCCTTCTGATTTGCTATGAGAATATATTCTGGTCTTCTGTAAGAAGAACTTCTGGTATGGCAGATCTTCTGGCTTCTATAAGGCTTTTTGAGGATAACATTTGATCTTCCTTTCTCGTAATCTACAATAAGACCTTTCTGTTTTCCGTTGAAACAACCTTCAGATTTTCATTGAAATAACCTTCTGTCCTTCTAGAAAAATACATTCTGGTCTTCATTCGTCTGAAAAAAAGAAAAAACTTCTCGTAATCTACAATAAGACCTTTTGATCGCCTATAAGTAGGTCTTCTGGTCTTCTATGATAATACCTCGTCTTTTATGAGAATATCTTCAGGTGTTCTGTGAGAAGAACCTCTGGTGTTCTATGACAAGCCCTTCTGATCTGCTATGAGAATAAATTCTCGTCTGTAAGAAGAACTTCTGGTATTTTATGAGCAGATCTTCTGTCTTCTATAAGGCTTTTTGAGGATAAAATTTGATCTTCTGTAAAAAAAGCTTCTCGTAATCTACAATAAGACCTTCTGGTCATCTATAAGAAGGTCTGTTTTCCGTTGAAACAACCTTCAGATTTTCATCGAAAGAACCTTCTGTCCTTCTAGAAAAATACATTCTGGTCTTCATTCGTCTGAAGAATAACTATTAATCTTCTGTAAGAAAAACTTCTCGTAATCTACAAATAAGGCCTTCTGGTCTTTTATAAGAAGGTTTTCTGGACTTCTATTTTCTGTTTTCCGTTGAAACAACCTTCAGATTGATACATTCTGGTCTTCATTCGTCTGAACAATAACTATTAATCTTCTGTAAGAAAAATCTACAATAAGACCTTCTGGTCGCCTATTAGTAGGTCTTCTGGTCTTCTATGATAATACTTTCTGTTTTCCGTTGAGTTTTTCTCTGAAAGGACCTTCTATCCTTCTGGAAAAATACATTCTTGTCTCCTGCAAGAAAAGTTTCAGTAAGAAGATCTTCTGGTCATCTATAAGAAAACATTCTGGATTGATATAAGTAGACATGGAGACCTTTAATGATACCCTATTGCCTTTTAGACTTAAAAAAAATCTGCTGATCTTCGGTCTCGTCTCATATATGAGTTGTTTATTTTGAAAGTGCTTTAAGTCAATTTCTTCTTATATTGAGATATTTATAGGGTTGGTAAGTTGTATAATTAGGGATAGGGTCTTGTCACCGCAACCATCGATTTGTATCACAAATGAAATCATTAGTAGTTGGGCCATTTGTGGAGCACAGCTGGAGCTACACGCCCCCGATGTTGAGGACAGTTTCATGTGATCGATTTCTGGACCTCAAATAGTACCTGCTCATCCAAGAATATGTCAAATCTCCGATGGCTTAAACGGGTCTCATCCAATTTTTCGTCCACATGATCTGTGTCAATACCTTTTTGTTTGTGGCTTTGTACCCTTAAACAAGATATAATGTGTTTTGTAATCTTTTCTGGAAACCCGAGATTTGTATCACAAACTAAAATGGACTTAGAGCACTTTCAAAATAAACGAATCACATAAATATTTTTTCTGGTCTTTTATCAGAAGAATTTATAAAGTTGTGTATATCAACTATCTATGGTAGGGGTAAGGGGTTGAAGGAGTGGAATATTGGAAGTGGGTTATTATTATTATCTAAAACTATGTATTTGAAAAAAACAAACTCTGCTTCTTCTTTTTCTTCTTAAGTATTAACTATTTTCGTTAAGTGAAATTCAAATAGTCACAACATTTGAACAATACTTAACGAATAAATATCTAAAATGTGAATAGGTATCTATGTGGGTGTGGGTGTGAGTGAGTATTTAATTCTATAAAACGTGTGTTTCATTTCTTAACCGATTAACTTATTATATAATACCACAATATGTACGTTTTAGTGCCAATTTTCGAAAGTTTATCTTATCATTGTCTATAGGCTATACGATTTTTTAATAAAGAAAAACTTTCCTTTTAGAACTATATATGTACGAAGGACAAAATCAATTCCACTTTGTAGTTAAGTTATCGTCACTATAAATATATTTAACTGCACATACACACAAACATGTAAGAGTGTGGGAATGTTTTTTTTTTTTTTGGGTGAAAAAATATGTAGAAAGGAAGATGTTCTTAAGTAGCTAAATATTCTATATTTAATATTCTAAATATTTACAATTATACACTAATTTTAGTAATTTTGTTTTTGTTTTGTGGTTGTTGTTGTTATTTATATTGCTACTTATCTATGGGAATATTTTCAATGTGGTTAACAAGCTCCTATAAAAAAACCAAACATACTACTTCTTGGCATACATACATCCGGCCCATGTATGCCACTTCAATCACTGGCTAAGTCATCTCCAATCAAACTACGATCCATGCCCTTCCAATTGCTGGTGCTCATTTCGGCTGCCGTTATACCATAGGCCTCACTGGGAAGACGTTTCTGACGACACAATGCCAGTCGGGTCTTGTTCGGCGATGTTGGCTGCAACAGCGGCGATGATGCCTGTGGCGAATCCATGTCATCGGTATTTTCCTCGGGACAACTATCCGATGGCGAAACAATACGTTCGCGGGTTTTAATCGATTTTTCAAGGCGTCGTAAAAATCTGTGGAAAGTAAACAATAATAAAAAATATTTTTTTTCTTGGTTGGTGGGTCTTACCTTATTTGAATTCCAATGGCTCTTAAGCGATTTATTTTACATTTAGGTTTAGGCGGATCCTCCTCCTTAACAATGCTGGGTGAAATTCGTCTCAAGATTGACTGGAAGAAAACATGAAAAATAAAATGAGTTCTTCTACCGGAACAGCAGCACGGCTGTTTTATACGAGAACGGAATATCTTCTTAGAGCTGAGCGATTCTTCATAGAAGAGCTGAAGGTCTTATTCTCCTTCATAGAAGAGCTGAAGGCCTTCTTCTCCTTCATAGAAGAGCTGAATGTCTTCTTCTCCTTCATAGAAGAGCTGAAGGTCTTCTTCTTCTTCATAGAAGAACTGAAGGTCTTCTTCTTCTTCATAGAAGAGCTGAAGGTCTTCTTCTTCATAGAAAGGTCTACTTCTTCAAGAAGAGCTGAAGGTCTTTTTCTTCCTCATAAGAGAGCTGAAGGTCTTCTTCTTTTTCTATATAGAAGAGCTGAAGGTCTTCTTCTGTTTCTTCATAGAAGAGCTGAAGGTCTTCTTCTTTTTCTTCATAGAAGAGCTGAAGGTCTTCTTTTTCTTCATAGAAGAGCTGAAGGTCTTCTTCTTCATAGAAGAGCTGAAGGTCTTCTTCTTCATAGAAGAGCTGAAGGTCTTCTTCTTCATAGAAGAGCAGAAGGTCTTCTTCATAGAAGAGCAGAAGATCTTCTTCTTCAGAGAAGAGCAGAAGGTCTTATTCTTCTTCATGGAAAAGCAGAAGGTCTTCTTCTTCATAGAAGAACCGAAGGTCTTTTTCTTCTTCATAGAAGAGCCGAAGGTCTTCTTCTTCATAGAAGAGCCGAAGGTTTTCTTCTTCACAAAGAGCTGAAGGTCTTGTTCTTCACAGAACAGCTGAAGGTCTTCTTCACAGAACAGCTGAAGGTCTTCTTTTTCATAGAAGAGCTGAAGGTCTTCTTCTTCATAGAAGAGCTGAAGGTCTTCTTCTTCATAGAAGAGTTGAAGGACTTCTTCTTCATAGAAGAGCTGAAGGTCTTCTTCATAGAAGAGCAGAAGGTCTTCTTCTTCATAGAAGAGCAGAATGTTTTCTTCTTCATAGAAGAGCTGAAGAACTTATTCTTCATAGAAGAGCTGAAGGTATTCTTATTGATTATTTTGAAATAATTTCTTTTGAATTAATGTAAATTGTGCCCCCATCGTTATATCTTGTTCACTGCCTTTATATACGTCTTTGAGTATTTCGTACTAAAGACAAAAGGTAGTAGCAAAATATAACGAGTAACTATGTCAAAGCGCCGCATTGTGACATCTTAGCTTTTAATAACACTCGTTCTTTGGTTCACGACCAGAAACCATCAAACCCTGTAGAAAAGGTAACTTTATATTGTTCCACGAACAACAATCCAATAAAAGAAAACCAAATCTACGTTTGGTCAAAAATTCTAAACAATTGTGGTTTTATTTCTCTTCTATTTCATATTTTGCATCAACGCAAACATTGGTCGAATCGAGCCGGATTGTTTTTGACGAAAACAAACCCCTCTCCTTTTGTTTCTCCTTTCACGAAGGAAAATATCGACATCGTCGAGAACAACAACTACAAAGATCCACGATCACCACAATCCAATAATTGTATTTATTTTAAAACATAAATTTCAACAACACAGGTATGTAC